AAATTAAAATTTGCTCTGATTATGCAAAGTTATCTTAACTAATGTATTTAAGCTAGCTCATTTCAAATGCAGCTGCATTTCAGCCTCCAAAGACCTCAGCTTCTGGCTAATGTGCTTTCATCTGCCCTGTTACAGTGACAGATCCCTAGTGCAGAAAAACGAGGAGATGGCAAAAGAGTCAGCCAACATGTTTCATGATGTTTTCTTGTGCTTTCAAGTCACCTCCTGGCTGCTTTGGAAAATTTCCCTTAGAGTACTACTTTGTACATACAGACATACACACACACACACACACATATATGTATACACACACATCCACAAGGGCTCCCAGTTTTACAGCTCCCATGTATTCACAGGGATACAAGAGCTTATTTCCTCCAAGGAAGCTGGGAAAAAAATCCAGCCATAACAGAGGTGCTCAGATATAGAAGAAATTACAGCTACAGCATTTCATTATCTGAGTGTCTCTGAAAGCCATGTGTAATTTCCTAAGACGATACATTCAGCCCTCCTAATATTGCCAGTGATGGAAAAAGGTGCATTATAGTCATCAATGGCACTTTACTTCCCCATCTGTGTTTCCTCAAGAATTGTCCAAGATATCATGATTCACTCTGGCTGCTTAAGCCATGAGCTCCCTCTAGCATCAAAAAGGATTAATGCAGTTGGTACCTTTGTCATCCTAAAGGAACAGAGAGCAAATGTAAGGAAGTATCAGTAAGATGAAGGAAGTCTGACCCTTTTCTTCATTTTTGACAACAAACCTCAAATCAAAACAAAAACCCCTTGAAGTTATTTCTGTGCACATAACTAAACACTGTTACCTTAAGAACAATGAGGCAAACACACCCAGAGGACAGGAAAAGGCATATTTTACATCCTCATCCAGCAAACATGGGCACAGATTGTAGAAGTGCACTCTGGTCATCAGCTTTCACAGGAGAGCAGTATAAGCTGGCAAGATGATGATTCTGGCTTTAGAGATATGCTCATTGCTTAAAAGAGCATTGTCACCAAAAAGGAAATAATAGAACAAAAAAGAATGAACTTGGATAATAGGTAGCTCGGGCCACAATATTCAGGTTGGGTTTTTAGAGATTCTCTAGTAATTACTTCCATTTTATAGCAAAGCAGAGGATTATTTTAGTGGTGTTAAGAGCTCCCCTTCCCCAAGAATACCGAAATGCTGTCCCTTGAAAAAATTATGTGAGTGAGAAAGGGCTTCCCTGCTATGGTTTAGATCTTTCATCTAGAGTGTGTTGGCAAGTCGCCTTTCCCAGACAGAGGGGAAGAAGAAGAGATGCAGCCAACACCTTTTTTGCTGGCATTTGGGAGTGTTTTTAGAGGTGGTAAGCACAAACACGTGCTAAAGCCTGTATGTCCCTGCTCCATTGACTACAGTATTTGTGCTGTGCTAGGGGCCCAGGAAGCCTCTCCCTGTGGCACAGCAATTCTCTCAAAACACAGAGGAAGCAAAGAATGACCAACAGAATAAGGCAAAACTCCTGACAGAAGTGAGACACCAAATGGATCTGCTGCTACACATAATTACTGGACAAAATTGCAAGACAAAATAACGTGCAGAAGCAACACCAGCTAGTGCTCAGTAGTTAAGAGAGAGCCTTCTCCCATTTTCAGGAGAAAGCCACAACTCTGTAGCCCAGGCAGGCACTTTAAATTTCAGTTGTTTGTGACATTCCCGATGACTCCTCTGCACTAGTGTCTGCTGCCCTGTCTTTGACAGCAGAGACTTGTCCTTGACATATATCACAGGTCCATCAGTGAAAGAGGATTCCTTCATGCTACCAATATTCCCGCAAGATCTCCTCTCATAACCTGTTGGCTTAAGTAGCTATCACCCCTCCCAAAGATAAGAACTAGAGAATAGATAGGCTGACATAGAACATACTCCTTCCAAACAGCCTGAAGGAGGACTGGGAAAGTATCTTCCCACTTCAAATGCTACAGAAATAGCTGGATCACTTAGTGGAGTTCAACCAGCTGCCATCACAGAGCTCCCAAGCACTTTCTCTGCAGTGCTGGTCATTCATTCTCCTAGAAATCTTTTTATCTGATATGGGAACAACCAGAAAAAAAACAGGGCTCATGTCCATCCTCTATTTTGTTCCTTTTTCTCTCATCTGCTGGGTATAGGGATGATGGCTGTGTCCCCTGCCAACACTCAATGACTCTGTAGCTATTGTTTTCCAAACAGCAGCACCCTCAGCCCATCTTTTTTGCTTGACCCTGTAGACGACAAAAACTTTTCCTCAGGGCACAGACTTTGCAAGGAAAGAGTGGGGTCTTAAAGACCATATAATTACTATTGTCAGTTATCTACTGCCACTCAAAGCCAACAAAAATTTGATAATAGCCAGCAGAAATGGTTTTGGATGCCTCACTTTGTGCTAATTCTCTAATCCTGTCTGACATTGCTTGTCCCTGTATAAGTAATAATGTCATAAATGTGGGTTAGAACTTCAAGATGTAAATTAGCAATGAGAACCCACAATTGAAAAATCAAAAAATTACCTGCTTTTTCATGCAATATATTAAAACATCAAGTTAAGTAAGCAAGTATAACAATAAAAAAATTAAAAAATAAAACAAATTAAAACCCCCAAAAGAATGGTACTTTTCATCCCAGTGGTTTAAGTCAATATGAGTACTCCTTTCTGGTACAAATTAGCAGACTATTACCTATTAGAGTAAGTAGCAATAGTCAAGTAAATATTCTTTCCCCTCAGTCTCCCTTCTAATGGAAAACAGGGACTACTAATTTGAAGATGTATTTATTTTTTTAATTTATATTTTTTAAAAATGGAGTGCCAGTTTTTGCCTGCATCATTCGTTTCAGACTGCTGTCTCAAGCAACCCATTTAAACTAGGATGTGGTAAAATGACACTATAAATTACCTTTAACTCAGTATGTGGCCTACCTAGAGACTCCTTTCCTGACTTGGGGTGAACAGGAACAAATTTGTGTGTGCTGCTGAGAGGGTTTTGGAGGTTTGTGATAGTGTATGCTCAGGTCCACAATACCAGCTTAGTTCATGCTCCAGGATTTAAGATCATGTTCTATGGGTTTTTCAAAAGCAGAAGTTAGTTTTGGTGCACATTTTCTTTGTGACACAGATTTTGTTAGGTCTTTCTTCAATATTTTCCACTGCTTCTCTTTTAGAAATTTCTGACACAGCTCATTATCACCTAGAAGACAGCTAAAATATTTGGTTGTGACACTGCACTGCACTTCTCATGTAGCCAAAGGTTAACCATTCATTCTAAAACAGCAAGAAGGAATCTGAGTAAGTGCCAGTCAAGTAGCAAGTAGCAAATAACCTCATTAGGTTCTTACTCTGAGGGCAAAGATGGTAAACTCTTGATGACCCATGCAAAGGAAGTACTGCTTCAGGTATCAGCCTTGGTGAATGCTAAGATTCAATAATGATAACAGCAAAAACCTGTTCTCCTCTGATTCCTCAAAATGTCAGTACTCACCATATTATGTCAATGTTGTCTTCCCAGCAGCCTTAAATAATTCCATCTCTGGAAAACTAGTTTTTATGTAGACAGCCAACTCTACTAACTTTTCTGTAAATCACCTAAGTAATGGAAAAGAATTTTTTTTCTAAGTTAGAAAACAAGACTACTTCACATACCAGAGACAACATGCCACTGGAATGTATGGACAAAAATTCCCTGAAGAAAATTAAGTGACAGCAATTGGAAATCTGAAAAAAGCACCCAAATGGCAGTATTATTTATCTGTAATATTATTAGCACTATATCCTGGATCCTAGAAAACTCTCCAAATAAGCTTAATATATTATCTTTTGTTACCAGACAGCGTTACAGAGAAAGAAAAAACCAACAGTTTTTTTACTCCTCGAGTATCTCAAGACACTTATCCATGTACAAATTTAAAATATGCCACGTGTTGCCTCTGTTTCTGGACTTAAAACATTTATTGTGCACTCTCTTCTTTTTATCATCTCACTGGTATGTCAGCAGCAAGACACTAAATAATGAACACAAAGTATTTTTAGGCATCTCATAAAAAAGCAGAAAGCATTGCTGCCTCACAGCATACTATATTTGTCTATGATGCCAGTCAAACCTCTCTGGAAACCTTGTTGATCTTTATAATGTTATGCCCAAAAGGTAATGTTTCTCTGAGTGCAGAGGTGGCTTCAGTGCCTACTCTCTTCAGAAATTCTGGCCACTCAAAATTACATATGATTTCAGTTTCCTTACCTGAAGCCATTTTTGGTGCAGCTTGGAACCTATAGTTCATTCCAAAATAGTCACTTCATTGCTAACAACTGCTAACAACTCTTAAAGAAATGGGAATTCATCAATTCCAAAAGTAAAACATAGATAAAAGAGTGAATACAGAATGTGAAGTTTCTCTCGAACGTCTTCTGATAATTATCAATAATATTCAAACACTTCTACTATTTTTGTTAGAAAATACACGAAATATCATATATCTTGCCACGAAGAACTTGTGTATTATGCTCTGTGTGTTAACTATTAACTTATTTTAACTTACTCTACATAAGAGATCAGATAAATCAGACCCCACATTGGGTACACAAAGGAGCTGAACACCAGGTTAAAGCTTGACAAAGCCAACAGAAACCAAACCCACCACAGACTGGTGTTTTACACAGTGCTTTATTTCCCAGTTCTTTCTGCAATGGCTCATAATCTTTATTTTTGTTTGTAAGGTCAGAATAAACATCAGTGTATCACCAAAAGTATTAGCCTGTGGCTAATCTCTGAAAGTTCTTACCTTACTAATGTTAATTATGCTGGCTGACTATCTTTTGTTACCACCTGTCCACAGTGAAACTTTTCCATTTTTGAAGTTATTAGCTAATCTCTCATTTTGCAAAGGAGCTCAGAAGTCTGAAATAAAAGGAATGGAGACACTTTTTTTCCCAGATTGAACTAGCTGAACAAAACTATGTTTCACTATGAAAACATTGATCTTGTTAAAATTGCAACCAATAAACCCTAGGCCACAGCTCCTGAAGGCGCTAAATTCGGTTGTAGTGTAGTCTGTTTCTTCAAAGATGTCAAACTCACTTTGCCTGATCCAAGTTCACAAATTTATGGAGTACTTCAGTGCAGATTTTTTGGTAGCTATGGAACACAGATAACCATGGACTCTTCCAGAGCAGCTGGTGGCTAAGCAAGCAGGGCTGTCCTCGAGAGCTGCACAATGAGGAATTCCTTTCCTTTTCATACAACTTCAAGAGAAAAGAGAAGTGCCACATGTATTATTTCTATGGCCTTGACACAGCCAAAAAAGCCTTATGAATAAATGATACAGTAAATAAACCATAACACAATAATCAACAGTGTGTGATATCACTGGAAGACATCACTTGATGAAGTTATAATGACAGTGCAATTCTTTCTGAAGCTCATCTAATTTATTATCAAAGAAGTCTTCTTCATCCACCTCAAATAGCTTTGTATCCTCCAGACAGACAACTAGCAATTCACCATCTTCCTTTTAACAGAGAATCTTCCTTTCATAGTGAGATGTGAAAAGAGGGGAAAAAATAGATTAACTGAGCTAATGTTAGGAAGCTATCCATAAATTTTGTATTCCAAACAGTGCCCCCAATAGAAACCATTAAGTGTGTCATGTCAGCTAGTACCCTGTCTTGATACTCTTGGTGTCCAGTGCCAGGTATTTTTCACAGGTGGAGTTAAGAACACACATATAAAACCTACCCTCTAAAGGAAGTTCCCTTCTCATTCAGGAAAATAATATCTGAAAAGCACGACAATAGAAATCTCAATCCCAAGGTCTGTTTATTTCTTTTCCCAAAGTTAACAGCACTTTCAACAAGGATGCTGCTTCACTGCAAACTTTGCCCCATTCTGAAGCACAGACAAACATAATGCTGTAAAGATGCCACATCCTTAACATCTGTAAGAACAGCACTACCAAAGTTACCATAAAGTAGAATCCATGATGTAGCATCCTCTCCTCAGAATGATTCTTCCATGCTCAAACCTGTAAAAATATGGCTGGTATTCTTTTCCAGCTGAAATGTAACGGATTGGACCTGTTCCTGAGTTAATTCTCCATCTGAGCTTTACTCTAGTGAAGAGGTGAACCAGCAGAACTTGAAAGGCCTAACCAGAATACATCCAGAAATGCAACTTCTGATTCAAACAAGTTACACTCCTTCCTACACACAGAATGAATCCTTAAAATCCTTAAGAATTGTCTTACTTAAAAAATGCAAAGCAAAAGTGACCTGCAGTGATCAAACAGAAATCAGTAAGCATTTTCCACTGAGTCCAGATGTAAATTTCAATATTTGATTCAATGTGAGGAAAAATAATTTGTCAATTAAAATAGATTAAATCAGCGAGAAACAAATGCAAATTAAATCAGCACCTTCCCTTCATGCTCCCCTCTTTCCTCAGACTCAACTTCACATTTTCAACCCCCAACTTCTTTGCCTCCATCTGTCCAAAGCAGCACAGGGCAAAGTGGAATGGGGAAGTTGCAGTCAGTCTGTAACAGCTCCTTACTATCACTCCATCTTCACACTTTTCCCTTGTTCCATCATGGGTCCTCTCCACAGGCTGGAGTCCTGCTCTGGCATGGCTCCTCTCCATGGACTGCAGTTCCTTCAGAAAAATCTCCACCTGCTCTGGCATGTGATCCTCCATGGTCTGCAGGGAAATGCACACTCCAGCACCTGAAGCAATTTTTCCCTCTCCTTCTCTGACCTTGGTGTTCAGAGGACTGTTTTTCTCACCTTCTTCCTCGTTCCTCTCTGCCATGCAGCATTTTGCCCTGTCTTAAATACACTTCCACAGAGGTGCCAGCAGCTTCACCAATGTGCTCAGCTGTGCCCCACGGTGGGTCCATTGCAGAGCTGTCTGGAACCAGCTGTGTCCTGCATAGAGACACCCGCACCTGGGCACCTGCACCCAATACAGAAGCACAAACTACAAGCTGGAGATTAAGAACTTCCTCACCCTCTCCTCTGCTCTCTTTCAAGCTGTGCTCAAAGAGTCATTTGTGGGGGCACAGTGGGCCAGACCCTCAGACTGATCTGGATTCAGAACAGGGGGAGACGGACGGTTCTTTGTACTGATAACGTGCTGGTGCACACAGTGCACAACAGTGCTCTCATCAGCACAGCTCTGCAGTTGTGCTGGCCTGCGTGGAGATGCAGAAGCAGAACCTGTGGCAGGTGCTTCCTGTGAGAACTTCTGGAGTGAAGGGGGCAGCGGAACTCACCCCAGTATCTCCCCCTCCTTAAGCAAAACATAATGGCATCTTACATTTCAGTCATGTAAGGAATCAACCTCCAGCACAGTAAGGTAGAGAGGAAATTTATCCCCAAACATGGGAAACTGAGGATAGCACAGTTTTTTAAAATGAGAAATTTGTTTCTACACTGCTCTAGAGAGGAGAAAGAAGCAATAGGAGAAAGGCAGAAAAGCGAAAAATGAGAACATCTAAAACAATTCCCCCACTCCCAAAAAGCACCAAGTATGAGTACAGTGATAGGACACAAAAAACCCCAATATGGGTAGGCCAGCAAGAGGTAATTTTATGGCTTGTATCACATACAAAGTTAGACATGCGCCAGCACCTGACATGAAAAACCTGTACACCCACCAAATTATTGTGAAGATATTGATTTAAAACTGGTAAAGCCCTCTTTCCACAGATCATCTGTTCTCAGTAGAAGTAAGAAGGTTAAGAAAGTTCCCACTTTCTCCATCTCCTTCCATGTACAAAACACCTCAGATGTGGTAACTTTTAGTTTTGTCAACAGTCAAGAACATGGAGTTATCAGACCAGCTTGCATTCAGAAGATAACTATTGCACTGAAGATAAAAGCAAACATACATGATTACCCTTCTAGCTTTTATTAGATGTTAGCTTAGAGAATAAATAATAACAAAATCAATGACTAAGAAGTTGTATATTAAAAAAAACATTTACCATATACAGTGAGCCATTTCAGCCAGAAGAAAATGCAATCTTCAGCTGTAACTTTGAGAGCTTTCTATCTCCTGTAAGCAGCTTGTTGCAAGCTTCCCTTCCTCTTCTGTTCTGTGCTCTGGTCTCTTGACAGTTATCTGGAGTACTCTCAGAGGTAAGTGAACCTGAGAAAACATCCAAAACATAGTGAAATAAGAGAGAAAAGTGGAAGCCAAGGAAGAAACACCTGCACACTTCAGAAAACTGAAAAGTGTCATCTGTAATAAACATAAATAATTAATTTCCAATTCTCTCTCCCATTTAATTTTAGCTTTAAGAGAATAGCTGTGAGAAAAAGTTAAATTTACGTAACTTAACAGCAACCTGACAAAGCAAAACTGAATTAGATCTAGGAGAGATTTCGAGGCCAAACTTGTGATTAATTTGCAAAAGCACTGTTAAACTCAAAGTTGGGGGTGGGGAGAAATTGAGATTAGTTTTCCTCCCACTGCTGGCCAGTATTTCTCAAGATGTTTAAGGAAACATATTGTGTAAGGGTGGTACTATATAAAGAGCAAGAATGCCTACTTTTCCCACTATATTCTTCAGTTGCTTATTCCTCCTATAAGCTCCCATTCCTAAATTACAGTATGCTTGAGGGTGACTGTCACAGGTGCTCTCATCTCTCTGTGTACATTGTCCATCAAGTTTTCATATACAGAGACCTTTATCTTCCCTTAAGCTGGAAAGCAGAATTCCATGAGCCATCCTTCAAAAGATTAATATGAGCAGCTTTGCATCAGGCAGAAAGACAAGACAAGTGCAGCTGTTCCTGGGAGCCAGAAGGTTTGTCTTCTGCTCAACAAGCACTGCAGAACACAGGGGGCATAGCCTCAGAATTCGTCCATAGCTCAGACTAAGATTAAATTCACAACCGAAGACTCGGTTCACAAGATCTGACCATTTTTGACACCAATGAACCAATGCAAATTCCATGCACAAAGAAAATTTGCCACAGCTAGAACTGATGTGCCATGGATGTTAATAAACAAATTACAGTTTGCAGATATTGTTCCTGACATGCTGCCAAGTGACCAGGTACATTACGCAAACAAAAAAGTGCCCTCATGTGATGGGAGAAGTCATAAGTGTGGATTCTGGTGTCATGCCCGTTTCCCACTCCACCCCTTCTGTTGTGCAAGTTTCATTCTGTAACTGGTGATCTTTTTTTGTTGAAGACACTGAACACAGTGATAATTATAGTACAGATGGAAGATCACCTACAGAGGAAGAAAAGTGCCAAACCTTTCAGGCTCTGAACATGGCAGTTTTGAGGTGCAGTTTGGAATGTTTCATGTTCTGGATAAAAAGAAAAAAACAATTAAAAAGGCTTAGGTTATTTTAGGTTATTTCAGGGCTAGAAGTATATAACATTATTCATTTAAAGTTAAAGCTTAATCTGTAAAAAACATATATCTGAAAAGACTTCAGACAAAAGCTCTACACTGCTTCTTTATTAAACAAGCTTTCATTTACTTTAAGAAAATGTACACAGACAATAAAAAGATTAGGAGGTGCCACTGGCCTACAATTTCACTATGACTTGCAAAGATGGCAATGCATGGATGAGTATTCATTAGCATATTGGTACATACTCATAAAAACATAAACATTGAGGCCTGTCCAAATGCTGGGCATCTTGTCAAGCAGATCAGAGACACAGTAATACTAATATTTCTGAAAAGGAAGATTTACTTTTATTCTCTATTGAAAAATCCTCTTCCTCCCACCAAAGAATGTGGGTTAAATAGAAGTTATGCCATCAAACTTTAATCTCCTCTGTTCCATTCATGCTGGTCCTCTCATAAAAATCTTACACACCTTCTTCATGCTCTCCATGTCTCTTGCAGGCTTGTAGAACTTCTTGAGTGGGCAAGAACAGCTATGTCAGCACACAAAGACAAATCATTGTTTCTGAAGGTGCATTCAGGACTAGCACAGAGAATGTTAGTCTGGCATGAGGACACTGGAACTGAACTTCTCTCTTTCTCTTACTGATCTGCCAATACGCACCTCTGTTCCTGGCCCTCTTACTGCCATTTGACTGCCACAGCTAATTACATTTTAAATAGTATCTAGAGACAAAGACTGTTCTGCAAAATGCAGAAGCAAATCTGTGATCCTTCCTGAAGCCACTATCAACATTTCAACAAAGGACAGAGCTAAAATTTTAACAGTATTTTAGTGGTAATTTATGCTGTAGTGACACTGTCCTGCTATAGCAATCCAAGTACATTAGAAAAATGTCCAAATGGCAGATCAAATAGCTCTCTAGCTCCTTCACAGTGAGGACCCAGAAATCAACTCTTATGAAAGCACTATATGACAAACAGATTTTCATCCTCTGATGAGCCTTATAAATCCCTATTAGAAAAAAAGATCGGGAAGAGAGACAAATTTAATTTGCTTAGAACAGCATGGTCTTGTTTAAACAGGCAGAATGTCATTAACAGAAGCCAGTACATGCCAAATGACCAACTGAGCTGTGCTGCAGAGAGCTAAGGATGGCTGTAGTAAAAACATGAATTCCAATTATCCACATCTGATTACATGTGCCCTAAAATATCTGCATCATTTAACCACAGCTAGGTGTAATTAAAGATGTATTAAAGAATTACATGCAAACAATTATAGTTCTGTCTGCATTTTATTTTTTTTAAGATACATACAATCCTGTATGCATATATAATTCAAAACTACTAAGTATCCAAAGGTAACTTCCATAAAGAGGCTATCATATACACGCTTTTTGCAAAGTTCTTCTATCTAGCAGAGGCTAACAGACTACTGATGAGAAAAACTCCTACAGCTCCTATTCTTCTGTCCAGGGAAGACTCCTCAGGACAAGGACACTCAGTATTTGTACTTAGAAAGCTTTCCATGCTTTTAAACCCCCTTCTGTATAGGATGGGGTCCTAGATGACAAACACACTAATACTTCGTATAATACAGCAGTACTATTTATGATCACTCCTTTGAAGTTTCTCCAGAAAACACATCAAATCCCTCCAGAAAATAAACATGTCATTTGTCATGTGCATTAGAAATGGAATGAGATATTAGATGTAAGAGCTTACATTGGAAAAAACCCAAATGCATGCACATACGCTCCTGTTACGTGACGAGATTTTTGCTTTCCCCTCAAATCATACCTTAGTTGCTGCTGTTGGATAAACCACCTGGATAGCTTCTGACCTAAAAAATCAACACAGCCTGTTTTACATAATGCTTGTTTCATTCATTAATGAGGTGCACTGTTGCTGGGAGAAGATAATTGTTACTGATGGCATAGGCTCTGAAGTCTATTCCTAAGAAAGCTTTGTTCAGAAGGGCAGGGCAGATCAAAGACAATTTTCTCATCAGAGATCTGTGAAGAGCAGTAACTTTTCATGGCACCATCCTCAGCTTCTATCCCTAATGGAACAGATTCTTCCTGCCTAGACATCTGAGAACATATCTGCTTGGATAGGCTTAAGGGAGAAAATTGTAAGTTTGCCAACAGACAGACAAGTTAACAGGCAGCTACTATCCACAGCCAGAATCAGGAATTCAAGCGGTATGAAAGAGCCCAGCCCTAACAGCTGGCAGAAACCACCCTTTCCCTCCTTGTTTTATGAAATCTTTCAGTTGCTGTGAATGTAATGATGTCCTGTGAAATGTGGCCCCCCGATATTCATCCAGGTAATGATGATGACCCCCAGAGCAAGCAAGAAAAAAAATTAATGGAATTAAAAGGAACATATGGATGTAGGATTCTGGGGAAACAGGAAGAAAAACTGACAGGGGCAAATCTCACCACTATTTACTTGTGCAGAGAACTCAGCAGCTGCTTCAACAGTCCAGCAGCGAAACATTGAGATTGGAGGACCCAAGGGATGGGGTTTCTGTGGAAGCCTTAGTAAGTGTGAAGAAAGAGACATTTGGCTGGATACTGAGTATGCTTAAGGTAGACAGAGCTGCAGTCAGATGGATGAGGAGAGCAGCAAGTTAATTCAGTTGGGAAGAAAAGCTTTGTTTTCCTTGGTATCATGTAAAGAAAAAGAGTCTATGGTCCTGGATTATAGCTCCAAGAGGAGTTTCTTCTTCATATTACAAGGTAAGAATGGGCATCTCAGACTATGGGAAGTCATTTATCTGCCTCTGGTACTCACCAAAAGTCAAGCAGCTTCATTGGTTTTGAGGGCAGGACATGCTTCCCTTTTCTCCCATACCTTTAAGTTCCTACCATGAACTCAGACTATGCACTACTGGCATAGATAGGACTGTGGACAGACTCAGGAGCTGCACTGAACCTTAGTGATGGGTTCTCAACCCCAGAGCCCACCCCCACCATTGGGGCCCCATTGGCCCTCCCCGTAGGACCCTTGCTTTTCACACACCTTCAGGAACTTCTTCCACCTGATCTCCCTGGAGCTGTCCTACTTGTGCTCCATCATACCCAAAATTCACTGCCCTAAAGTAGCTCTTGCATTTCTCCCCATGAGCCCCCATAACGACAACACAGACTATACTTTAAAAGAAAAATTAGTTTACATTTGAATAGGAATATTATACCATTAAGTTACTATATAAAAATATATATATACACACACATACATATACAGACATCTGTGTCTCTAAATTTTGTACAAACTGCAACAATCTTTATACCACAAAAAGGACTCATTAACACTACTGGTTCCATCCAAGAGGCTGCCAGCCTTGAGTGAGAGCTCTGTTTGCGTGCTTTTTCATGCTTTCTCTACATTTTACCAAAAAATTATTTTTGCATACACATACAGAAGCACAGCCCTTCTTGTAAAGCAACCGATCGCTATTATGGGCAACCAACAACGAGAATAAACGGAGAATAATTTGTTCATTTACAGTACTGTTGAAGCTCAGGATCTCTAGGTTTGCAAAACAAATGCTTGAACATAACCACAAGAAAACAAAGTCAACATCAGAAAAGCATCTACAATTCCAACACAAAGTAATAACCAACTACTTTGCACGAAGCTACACAGCTTTCTCTGAAAAATCAGCCTTGCATATACTATTCAAACAAATTCAACTGCATTGAAAGTGCTAATGTTTACTTCTGATCTTTTTCATATACATAACAATCTTCTCTGTGAAATTTAGGTGGACATTAGTGAAAAAAGGTATTAAGTTGAATATAGAGACTGGATATGGGTGATGAGTTCGTGTTGTTCCACTAGCAAAATGCACAAAACAAATGTAAACATACTCTTTGAAAAAGAAAGGTTAAACTAAATTAAAAAGCAACACAGTAATAAACTGAAATATGTATTTGAAAGACAAAGAATAGAAATTCTGTGAAAATGAAGAAAACGAAAAACAAAAATGTGAATATTGGCTGAAGATGCATTTCAAATAAATTTTTTGATGAACAGAATTACAAGTCTAACCCCCAGCTTTTAAAACCAACTAATTCCTTACTGCTTCTTTAAATTTCTTCCAACTTTTTCTTCTATTGTTTTCAGAATACCACGCAAATCAGGGTAGAATTAATTTCGCAGCCTGCAATTCAAGATGGACTAAAAGAGTATTTCCTCCAGCTGTGAGCACTAAGCCAAAAATAGAAGTACTGTCAGAAATATTGTTCAGCACAGGATGAGGCTGTAGCTTATGGTGGAAAGAACAGTGACTGTTAAAGAACAGAAAGTTAATGAGGGAACTAAGCAAGAACTGATGGGAATGTAACTTCTCTTTCCTTAAGCTTTTACTCCAACCATAAACGTATCGTTTGCTTTGAAGAGATCTAAAACTGAAATAACATCTTGCTGGTAATCTTTGGCTGTAGTTTATTCTTTTGAGAATAAGCATTCTAAAAAATGAGGAAAAATTCTCAAAAAAAAAATGAGCAATATAACATATGAGAAAGATAAGATAGTCTGGAATGCATTAGTTTAAACTCTAGGAAAAACCAAAGGTGATGGAATCATTGAATACAGCAACACAGAAGGAGGTACCTGTTCTGGTGTGCAGTTATTGAGTTGGAAAAGAGAAGGTGACTGCTACCTGAGCGCTCCAGAACTATGACTGCAGCAGAGGACATCCATTTTGGACAAATCTTCACAATTAACAACAACAACAACATCCAAACCAACCAAACCAAACAAAAAGTCCAAAAAAATCCCAGGTGCACCTTGTGGAATTGTCCTTAGCCAAAAACAAGTAGGATATACCACAAAACAATTCAGTGTAGAAACTAAATATGAGAGGCTCCAAAAAAACTGAGATTTTTTTATGCACTTGCATGATAAAATACTGGCTCTTATTTAATAAGAACATGATCCTGTAGGAAAGTTCTAATGGGAGCTAACCCATAAACATTAGCTTTAAGCAAAGAGCATTCACAGTGCTAATTAACCTTACAGAAGTTAATGTATGTTAAGACTAAGATATAGCACCTACCTAATAAATGCTGCACATAAAGCCATTTGGAACACAAATTCAATGTACGACTTTTGAAAGTTTTAGTTTCAATGCTCAAAAGAAAATGAAAAAATAATTTTAAATGTCCACTATTTAGATGATATTTGTGAATGCTTGAATGTAAGTTAGCAAATGTAACAATTTAAAAACATAAATATTTTGGTTCACATAATATTTGCAATACTTTCTACTCTACATAAACAAACTAATCATTTTCCTGGTTTTTGTTTTTTTTGTTTTCAAGTCTAAGAAACAGAAAAGTCCTCAGATTGCATTCTTCCACAGCATACAGAAAAAAACTTCATAATTTTATGATCAAGCTCTCAACCACTAAGTAGGAACTAATAACGGCACTGCTCCTATTGCTGTATACGAAGTACTCCGAATATTGCTCTCGGAATTCATCATCTGAAGCAAACAATGTAATTGTTTACCTTGATATCTATGTTGGTATCAGTTTAATTTCATTTAGGGCTTTAAATTGACATGTCTGCTTAAAGAAACATAAAGAAACATGTCTGTCACAGATTACACAACTCAGTGCTTGTCACTTATTATGGCTTTGACTTAAATATTGCTAAAAGATAATTTTTTTATCACATTCAATTTCTAAAGATTCCTGCTAATTATTTTAATGACATGAACCATTTTAGTCTCAGAAAATGTCACTGTTCAAAAAGATGAGTTTGTTTTCTGAATGTTATAGTGACAGCACATTTGGACATATTGCTTGGATTTATATCACTTGCTTTGTTTTTTTGGGCTTGTTAGGAATGCCTACATTACAAGCCCTACATCATGAACAGCAGCAAGTTAAATCACATTTATCTGAGCTGGTAGCTTCAAGTGCATAAAGCAAACAACAGGTAAGCTGAAATGGCAGCATCCATCATTTTCCATGAGACAAGACTCCTGCATTTAGTTGTTACGACCAACTGCTAATACAGTACCACTGCAAAGGAAGGCTGCGTGCAGCAATAAACCTCATCATAAAGCCAGAACATAAGTTCAAAGATGTTAAAGATGAAAACATTCACCGTTACAATTCACACCCTTTTCTTTATCACACAACCTTACATTCACCTGGCAACCTCACCTTTCTCCTCTCCTTGATCTTCACACCATTAACATTATGATCAGGCCAAAGTTGCATTTTCTTAAGCATCCAGTTCTTTATCACTTTGCAGTTTAGCATCCTGGACCTTCATTTTGTCACAAAACCATTGCCATACTGATCAACTTTGCCATTGGATTCTGTGATCTTGGAGCTGACAGATTCTATGGTCTCTGTAGTGCAACAACAGTCGAGGGTCTCAAGGAGAAAAAGCAAACCCAGCATTGTGATCCACACTCTAAAGCTAAGGAATTAAACTGTGGAAGACCTTCAGAAACATTAACCAAAATGGGCCATTTGGATAGCACCTAGATTACTCAAAGCTTGAAACAGAAGAGAGAGGTGGTGTTCCACAGGGCAACTGAATGACCTGGAATTGGCAGTGAGCCACATCAGTCAAATCAAAACAGCTTTCTGTCAAAACAACTCTAAAGTATGCTTAGTCTGAATGTCACAATACAATTGAAAAAGAACGGCAGGACTTTGAGAGCACCTGCCTTTCCTTCCAAGACATTAGAGTTCTCCAATTCGAAAAATCCTTCCAGGCTTCACAGGTGAAGGTGAAGAACTATGGTGAGGAACTATGGCAGTCTCTGATTTTATCTGGCTCCATAGACAACGCTTTTTCTCTTGGCTCTTGTTTAACTTGGCTCACACAGGTAATACCCTCCGTATTTTCTTCAGCTTAAAAACAAAACAAAAATCAAACGCTGAAGTTCAAACGCCACTGACAATGCTTCAGCCCCAATAACTGTATGCATTTAAAAGAAAAACATTTCAGGAACTCAAGCTAATAGGTAAGGCATATATGAAGTTAACTGCTGTTTAGCTTGACAGCCAGTTACATCACCTATTGTGCTCTAAGACATTGCAAGTTGACATGAATTTACTACAGTAAGGCACCCCTTGAGTAACAATAGTTAAAACATCTTATTAAAAAATGTTTGGAGATATAAAATCACTTTCACACATAATGTCTTTTCACTTTCCCATGGAAAAAACAAAGCTACCATCTTAATTTTTGGGGTGTGTTGTGAGGTTCTTTTCCACACAGAAATGGAGGTGCTATTGCTGAAAAAATTAACTCTAAAGCATGTTGATTTAGAGAATGACTTACACTTCAGGCACAATTGGCCATTTCTCAATGGCTGCACACCCATTTTAGCAGGAAATAGCTTACTATTAAGCTAGCACTTCAAAATGAGAAAATCCAGAACACAGAGGATAATTTTAACCAAGTCCACGTGTGCATAAGTGTATGCACACATGGAGGAGAGAAAAAAAATCTTGAAATACACATTGACTGAAATGCTAAGTTTAAGTTTATGGTGTTTCCTCCAAATAAGATCTGTAGCATTATTCCCCCTTCAGTCTAGACTCGTTTTTGACCTGCTCACCAAAGAATTTGTCTCTGGGGGAAAAAAACCCCAAACAAAAAACCCCCAAAAATTTCATAGGCAATTCCTCCACTGACTTAGGAATGGCACCAATATTCTTGCAACTTCCAGATTCAAGCTAGTGAGGACAGTTTGAGACCTTCAGCAGAGAACAAAGGAAAGCCCACAAGAACAGTGAGTTTAGTTCTTGCAGTTATATAATTTTATATTTGATTACATTTCTTTATGAGTAAAATAGCGTTTCTTTTAAAAATTAACTTACAACACTTGTCACATATGAAAATTTTTGGCAATTAGGATTTTTGGCAAAAACATTGTGTTTAACAAATAAGTTGATATTTGGTCAAAGAAACTGACAAGTGTCTCTTTGCAGGAAAAGATAAGTTTGGGGCTTCTTTTGGTGGTTTTTGCTTTTTGGGGTTGCTTTTTTGTGGTTTTTAATATAGTAAAAACTAATTAGAATCAGCTGAAAGAAGTCTATGCTGGAGTTCCCCATTATCAACACATTTCTCTCCTTTCAAGCCACACAGAACAAAATCCACTTTATTTTCTATATTTACATTTTACGGAGAAAACTGCAACTTACTAAGTGCTGGATGGTTGTCCACAATCTGAACTGGAGTAGTCTGTACATCTCCCAAGAGAATCTGATGGACTCCTTCCAGGCTTCTGGAGTCATTTACACCTCCAGCTGGTACCAACTGGCCCATGGCGGCCAGACTTTGATCAGAGCCAGGTGGAGTCCCAAAAGCAGAGGCAGCAGCACCATGCTGTGTTAGGCCAGCACCTGCTTGCAGGCTGTGGCCCTGACTAAGTGTTACAGAATGGCTGGTTATTGCACTCCCTAGGGAATCCAGGAGACTTGCAGGGCTGGGAGGGGAATGGTTATTTACAGCTATCAGGGCTGTTGATCCATTTGTGGAGGTAAATGCTGACTGCAGCTGTAATCCCTGTGAAAGAGAAGGCAGAAGTACTAACACATATTTTTATTTATAGCAGAAGGAGTTTGCATTTAACAGCACTTATTTTGCAGTGCTGGAAGTGGATAGCTTCCAACTTCCTACACACAATGTCTTTTGAATAGTCAATCCCAGCAATCCTAGGCTCAAAATGTATTTGAAAACAATTCGAACAATGGTATCTAACAGCATCTAGAAGACTGCTTATGACCACAAAGCTCTAATTTTGGATTGATACTCAGTTTCAAACCATTCCCCAATACTGCCCATTCTAACAAAACGTGGGTAATCTATGCTAAGCATACTGCTTTAAAAAAACCAGTGTGAGGTGGAGCCAGGCTGTCTTCAGCAAGAGAGGGAAACCCCAAGCAGAACAGCATCTTAGTGCAGACTGTATTTCTAGGGAAATATTGTGCATTTCATTGGGGCTCAGGAAGTATGAAAGTAGCTTTTCAAAGTAGTTAGGGAAGAAAGCTAAGAGAGCCAGCTCTGAAGGGAAATGAGCTTTAGAAGAAGCTCTTTTAGCATGACATTCTTATCTCCACCCTTTAGCCTTTCAACCTGGAAGTTTACAGATCTGAGCTAGGAGCAATTTTAGGACTTCAACATATTTCCTTAAGAGGCTGGAGGATGATTTAAATGGAATAAATAAGACTGACCTATCTCCCCTCAGTTTTGCAGCATTTTCATTATGAAATGACTGGACCATATAGAAAATGAATAGACACTTGGTTTGAAGCAGAAACCCACCACCTTCATCCTCTTGGTTTTGCCTTCACAAGAGACCCTAACTTCAAAGTGTTGGCAGCTGGTAGTGGGATCCCCTGCACCACAGCTACATGTGACATGCCCGAGTTGACAGCTCTGTATTACCTAGACAGTGTCTGGGATTAGCTGAGAGGGAACTTGCTGTTCTCAGCCTACCTTCAGCACTTCCAACACAGCGTTCTGTAAACAACTTGACTGTACCTGAAGTTGTGCAAATATCTTGGGCTGAAGTGAAGAGAGTGAAGACAACAGCTGGGCTGTTTCTGGCGGCAAGGACTCCCCACTCTGGCTGGATTCTGCTTTGGTGATGACTGACTCACCCCCTGAGCTCCCTACAGTGCCAAAGAGAGGAAGCAGACAGTTAGGCCAAATTTCTTCTTCCAGTTTAATAAAAGCCTCCCTTACAAACCAAACAAACCCCTTCAATCTCAATATAGATACACAGCAGGCATATATATACATAAATGCTGTTTTCTTTGTAGAACCTGGATGCTAAAGAAAAAAGATTGTGTATGAGAAAAAAACCCAATACTGTAGGAAGATTGTATGTATCTACACAGAGCAAAAACCAGAAGCACCAATAAATCTGTTCTTGAGAGCAAAATAATTGCACCCTACACTGTGCTTTGAATTTGTAGTAGAACAAAGGCTGAAACATTTCTAACAAAGCAGCAAACAAATAATTTGACAACATCTACACCTCAGTAAGGGCTCAGTAACAGATACGTACCAAAAAAAAAGGGTTGTCTTAAAAAAAAAAAACTAACACAGGAAATTTTCTGTCTCACCACTTCCTTCCAATCTTGAAATTAGCATAAACTTCTATGCAATATCATCAAAAGTCCATTTATCTGGAGGCCTTTTAGCCTACAGATTACATCATATCCTCAAAATTCTTATTCAGTGCAAGAATTATGGACTTCATTTCCTGAAGGCTTGTAAAAATTGAGATTCACTTGTAGCAATTTCTGCAAGAAAACTTCTCATGGGATCATTTCATTTCCGATTTGAGCCACTCAGAACATTTTGGTTAAGATTTATGCAGACACAAGTAGACATTGCTCAGCCTTTCATTTAGCAGTTTCACTGTTATAACAGCAAAAGAAGAGCTTGTCCTGTGAATGCAGACTAGTCTGGTGAATGGCAAAAATTGAGAATGGTCAATTGCAAAATGCTTTCTTACCAGAAAATCATAGAAAAAGTTTCAGCAATCTGAGGGGAGATCCATTTTTCAACATACATACTGATCTGCAAACTCTTTATCATAACTGACCACAAGATACTCTCTGTAAATCTCCTTGAACACAACTACTTCAAATATTTAGGCCCTTTTTAACATCCATGTGCATATGTGAATGTTCATATGCAGGAAGAGATGGTAGTTCTTTCCTTAGGTTGTATTTTACAGCAACATGCCCAGGAATAAAGCTAATAGTTCAACTCCTGATATACCCGCTACAGAGAAAGCTGTATCCCATGGAGATACGGAGTTTCGCACAAGAAGTTCTGTTATTGCTTGATTTCTTAAATGTAAAGTTGTCCCCATTTGGCACAAGTTGAAATTAAAAAAAAAAACGTATACAAAGAGTAGTCATAAAAGTCAATGTTGCTTTCCCTTGCTATCACTTCACAAACATTAATAAGAGCTCATTTTTAAAAAGTCAGGCTTCTTTTTTTTCCTTAGACTTGTAATACAATTATAAACATGTGTTTGAAATATGTACAAACACATACCCACACATATAAGGGGAGACAAGACATGCTGCAGTTAGAGTACCTGCTTATTTTCACTGAGTTGGTGCACATGTGCATAAAACTAAACAAAACCAATTCTCTGGCTTCCTGTAAAATTCAGTATGTCACTGGATGGATGTTTACACATTTGATAGGCTACTTTGTCTTAGAGAATTATCTGTGTAAAACAAAGAAACCAAGAATTGGTCTCTTCCTAAACCTCCAACACTCAGTTCATACCAAAAGTCATCCTGCTGAGCTCTGTCACAGCTGTTGAGGGCACAACTATTCTGTGTTTCTCCATAAAAGCACAGTAATAGCAATATTAACATAGGCATGCAAGCTTAACTGCAGTAAGTCTGCTCACATTGCAAATGTCTTTTTTCCCAAAAAACAAGACTTGCTTAAAAAAGAGGGACACTGTTCAAGCTGAGTCTAATTTAATTCTCTTGACAGGTGTTATTAGCATCTTCATCCAAGATAAAATGTTCTTTTCACACAACCATCCCACTAAAATTTTTAATTGCTTGAGGCTGCTAAATAAAAGCCAAATTCATTATTTTAGTACTTCTTCCAACAACATCATTACTACATATTTTTCCACACATGCAGTCAAATAGTTAAAAAAAGCAAATGAAAATAGTTATGACAAAATAATCCTTCTTAAGTTCAGCTGAGTGACAGAACATGGCAGCAACCACTCTGGAATAAAACTGAACTTCTGTGACATAGCTAATAAAACGCATTTGAAGACAGCTAGGTTATCCATACAGTCCTACCCTCTGAAGGTGGTGAGGCAAACGTAACAGTCACTGTTTCTGTGAGGACATTCCCACTGTCTGTGGTCCATTGCAGCTGAAAGGAAAAAGATCTCAGTTCTCAGAAAGGGTACAAGCTTGTCTACTGCAGGAACACAGGTTCAATACAGGACCTGTAGGAAAACAATGTCTAAAACTACACTTCCTTATTTTCTTATAACTATGCATTTTGGGAGCTCTTGATTTACCAAAAAAAAACCCGTGAACATTACACTATATCAGGAAGGCTGAAGTCTGCTCATGACAGTTTAAAGACTTTAAAATAGAAAACAGTCAAACCATTTGGCTAACTAACAAGAACCTGGGCCACAACAGTAGAGGGAGAAGGAAAATACTGATGACACAGCATGATTTAACAGTAGAGTTTGTCAAAGCTGATTTTAAATCAGCAGTTTCTTAGTAGTCACTCTCATAACTGGGAAAACTAGGATCACTGTGTATCCTTTATGAGTCACTATGTGGAAGAAAATTAAGAAACATCTGAGAGTTACTGAGCATTCAAAAGTATTGACTTCAAGCTTACTTCACTTGCTATAAAGTGATTTACTTATGTTTACGCATTCAAAATGTCATGTAAGCCCTAATTTTGACTGCACCTCAGACACACCTCACCCTCATTTCTTCAGATACGGAAAAGTAGTAGTAACTTCTTCAAAACAGATGATGACAAAGCCATGAATAAAATTTTCTGCCACATGCCAATTTTTCTACACCGCATGGCTTCCAGTTCATGGGCATTATGAAGTGCTACTATTGTATAATTTGTCAATCAAATAACAGCAATCTAACGCTGATGAGATAAATACTGAAGAAGGTCAGAAGGTTTTATTCACATTTAATCCAACTGTGCTCAGCTAGAGATTCCAGTGAAAATATTGCTGCTGGAAATATAAAGTCATAGGAGAATTTTTAAAGAAATACAGCAAAATGGTACAAATTAAAAACAACACTTCTACTATAACTCCAAAAATCAAAAAGATACACAAAGGCTAACATACCATTGCTGGGATACTTTCTGAATTATACACCATCTCTCCATTCCTTAGAGACTTCTGTACTTCGTGAATGTGGTTCTTGATGTCATTCACGGTGGGGAAGAAGGACAGATTATGTCTTTCTGGCACTTCATCAGGCGTGAATAACTCTCTTTCCACATACTTTCTGTCACATGTTAAAGGACATTCAAATATGCATATTTAAATACATTGTGCTATTTCCCTCTGTTAGAGACACCACTACCTTCTCCCTCCCCTTGTTGCAATGACAAGACAAAAGCAAGCTAGATGATCTTCTGCCAGTTCCTTGTGCATCTGCTACAGAGTTTGGAATTTAAAATCCCCATTTATTTAAGTATATTGAAAGAGTACAGCAGCTCTTGGCGGCTACCAACAACAATATGGAAGGAGAAGACAAAAGCTGGGAAAAGCAGTCTCATGACATCTGGGAAATACACTCAGTGGTGCATCAGCACTATCATTTAGTTGCAAACCAAATTAATCAAATGCAAGAGTAGATACAGCACTACAGACTGAGAGCATTCCAGACAGTTCTGTACCTTAGTTGCTTCCTCACTGCATAGACCTGCTCTATTCCCTGAGACACCAGTTCTCGGATCTTGTCTGCCACTTGAGGATGAAGTCGAGAAGGCAGAGCACAGTTCTCATCTCTAACAACCTCTTCCTCCTCCTCAGGAGAAGACACAGGAAAATGAGAGGGTGAAGGAGGGAGGCAGGATGTTTCCATTTCATGGTATTGGTGGGCTTGCTGAGTAGGTAACTGTACATACCACCTAGCAAGAAGGAAAGAGTTTATACACACAATTCTCAAGCAAAGGCAAAAAATTTGGTGTCTTAGGGGAACAGTCTGACAACCACAAACAACTTAGTTAGAGCGACGTAAGTTTTGATGCTTTCAGAACTCAGGGCCCTAATGTCTTTCACAACTCAGGGCCCTCTCACACCTTTCAATGCAAAATAAACTAGCTCAAACCCTCTAATAATACAACTATTTCTATCTGCATGAAAACACCTGCTGAAGTTCCACCACTTGGTGCTTAACACATTTACCAAATGAATACTTCAGAGCCACAGGAGTCTTACTGACATTGTGGGACTTTTTTACTATTGATATTAATCAAAAGCCTTAATAAGTGAATAAGTAAAAAATAAAGAAAACCTAGCAAAACATTGCTCTTTTTTGCTTCATTTGCGAAAATAAAGAAAAAAGAGGAAGTTTCACCTGAGGATACCACCAGCATCTATCAAGTTCTTCTTCAGAATGTTGAATGCTTTCTCCTGCTCCATTCTTATGATTTTCTTGTCAATTTTAGGATCAGTAGGAACCCTGTATTCTGGAAACTTCTGAACCTTTTTAATATAGATTCTTCCAAAGGGGAAGGCAGGGGGAATAAAAAAAAATTCTCCATCAGTATACTTGGTCCTTGGGAGGGGAAAGACAAAAACCCCATCTGCTTCATATCAGACACTAGAATAGAAGAAGTTCGAGCAGAGTGATGCAGGGAGGAAGGAGCCTCAAAAATAACTGCAGAATTCTTAAAGATGCATCAGTAGAGATGGATGCATACAGACACACTTCTGTTCTGGTCTGGCAGCCGCTCAGCCAGAGTGATTTTGCTCCTCAGAAAAAATTCTCTGTCCCTCAGCATAGTAAAAGCACACACCATTTGTGAACAGACTGCAGTTCACCCAGCTGTGCAGAATTGAGCACATACATACTTAGCTACAACTGTTTGAGTAAACACGCTCTTAGATCAGTAAAAACTGAACGAGCACCCAGGAGGACGCTCAAGGATGAGGAAAAACACCATTAGTGCTGGATAAGGAGAAACTCCTCAGTGAACAGGAAGAACTGTAATGCCTTCAACACACAGGACATGTGCAAAACTAGGCTGATTGACTGATATCAATGCAATTAAAAGCCTGAAGAAAAAACAATAAATAATATGACAAAGTTTTATGACCAGAAATGGTTGCTAAAGGACATCACAGTAACTCACTAATGATCAGGTAGATAATGATTCTCACTTCTATTTCATATAGTGATGTGCTGCTACTTGCATCCAGGCAATCTATCAAATCTCAGCCTTACTGAGTCAAACATTTCCTCCTTACCTCTAAATGAGTATCAACCTCAAGTTCCCAAGGAGATGAAGCTAAGAGCCACAGCAGAGAGTATCAGCTACCACCCCAAAAGAGTGCTCTGTCCCAACTCACAGAAAGAACACTTTCTTAGGATGCTGAGTCACTCTTACAGCTTTATAGATAATTCATACCTTGCTGGACAAGTGGCTTTGTACAGATGGCCAGAGGTGCTTTCCTGCTCACCAGCTTTTTTGGGCTGGAAACCTTTCCTCCTTGGCCCATACTGACACTCCATTACAATGGCTCTGCTTCCTGGAAACAGAATGCAATTCACTCTATATTTATTCAAGCAATAACTGAATTTTTTACAGTAAAATAGTAACTACAGAAGAGATGAGAGTTCTGAAACAGAACATTTCTGTTTGCCATCGGACTGTTCAAAAGACAGAACGCTTAGGTGTAGCAAGCAAATACAGTGCAAATGCTTCTCTCACAGCATGCAAGAACACAGAGCATTTACTATGCATTTCTCAAACCTGCTACACCTCACAACGCTCCTGCAACACATGTGAAGGCAAAATATGAGATTCTGCCCTGGTGAACACCAATAGTTTATAAGATGAGAAAATTACCAAAGCAGCACAATGCTGGTAATAAACACAAAAGAAGCAGAATCCCCAAAATAACAGAGAAAATTCACAGCTGAAATCAAAGGTGTGCTGGTTTTGGCTGGGACTGAGTTTTAATTTTCTTCACAATAGCCAGTATGAGGCTGTGTTTTGGATTTCCGCTGAAAACAGTGCTGATAACACAGGGATGTTTAGTTACTGCTGAGCAGGGCTTACACTGAGTCAAGGTCTTTGCTGCCTCTCACTGCACCCCACAGGCAAGGAGGCTGAGGGGCACAAGAAACTGGGAGGGGACACAGCCAGGACAGCTGTCTCAAACTGCCCAAAGTCACAGAATATGGCATGGAATATACCATATGGCCTCATGTTCAGCGTACAGAGCTGGGGGAAGAAGGAGGAAGAGGCGGCCATTCAAAGTTACAGTATTTGTCTTTCCAAGTCAGCATCAGAGGTGATGGAGCCCCGCTTTCCTAGGGATGGCTGGACACGTGCCTGATGACAGGAAGTTGTGAGTGAATTCCTTACTTTGCTTTGCTTGTGTGCACAGCTTTTCCTTAACCTTCTAAACTGCCTTTATCTCAACCCATGAAGCTTTCTCACTTCTACCCTTCCGATCCTCTCCCCCATCCCAACAGGAGGAAAGAATGAGTGGCTCTGTGGTTGTTTCCAGCTGGGGTTAAACCACAACAGCAGGTCAGCAGCCATTTCCAGCCCCCTGGCTTAAATCAACACTTCAGACCAGTCTGACCCATAAATTCTTAACTGCAAGTCAGAGCTATCTTAACTGCCAAATAACAGTTTCAGTGCAGCATACCCACACAAAACCAGACAGGCTTAAACAAACGCTGCTTTGCTCTAAACTTGAAGTAAGTGACTTCTTCCAATCAGACCTCTAAAAAAAAGGGGTAACAAGCAAAGAATTAACGTGGTCAAGAAGGGAACGTTTTCCGAATTTCTTCCATGTCATGTTTAGTTATCTTTTATTTCTCAGGCAAGCAGCTGCCTGTACCACAAGTGACATAACCAAAACCTTTTTAAGTATTACAACAGGAACATAATCTGCTTCCATAAGATAGCAAATGATTTATTGCCTCAGGGCAATAACTGACATTAAAAAAAAAAATGAAAAATAATCTAATTATGTATAACAAACATATCTTGTCTCGTTTTTAACAAACAAACATTAACAAACATTTTAACATACAAACTTAAAATGTAAATTTCAGGATTGAAAAGACTTCAACAGCTTTAAAGTAGTCTTTGCTAAACTGAATCTCAAAACCAGTTTGATAGGAACCTTGTTTAACAAAAGCTTCAACTATCCAAAATTCTCACTAAAAATAACAATCAAGATTTTGATGATTAGTGCATGCTTTATACCATGGGGAGCTACCCAGCTTCTCTGTATTTTCCCATAGCTGCAGAAGCCCAGCAAGAAAGCTATTACAGATTAGATCCACTTTTGCAGAAAGGATAAATTCCTCAAGAACAACACTTTGTCCTGCACAGTTTAGAATTCAGTTATCTGGGATCTGAACTGCAGTTCAGTAAATCATATTTACAGCCTCTGCTCTACAGGTGAAAAGGATTTTAATGAATGTTTTTCATAGACGAGTTATAAACCAAACCTAAATGTACTGAAAAGGCAACACATTAGAAATATAAATGTCTGTTTGGGGGTCTGAGCAAAGCAAAAAATATTACAGTTTAATAATCTGAGTTTCCATTAGCCTACATCTTTAAAAAAAAAAAGTGTGTGTTTTTTTACTGTAAATATTTTGCTGCGGGGCAACTCATTTATCAGGCGGATCTTAGAGGAAACTAAAGATGTCTCATATGCATGTTGGGGAAAAAAAAGTGTGAGTTGCTTTGACTTCGTTTTCTTTTACCTCACAGTTTACGGCTGAAGCTTTAAAACTGGTGCTAATACTTCACTTTTTCAGTAACTTTCAGAAAAAAAAAAAAGAAAAGAAAAAACCCAAGCACATAACCTACATTTCTGCCAATCATTTTCTCTATGTAACAATTAAACTCCATTCATTTTATATCCAAATTAACTCTTAGTAACACATAACATTGCATGAGCTAAATATGTGATTACCAACCTATGAAGTCTTCATGTTCACTTAAAAAAAACCCCAAAAATCTGTCTGCTGAGGTATGTTGATGTTTATCTTGTTTGGTTGCTTTTTAAAATTTATTTACTTTTTTTAAAGGTTGCAACTTAAATAGTTTCTTGACTCCTAAGGAACAAACTCTTCAAAAGATCTTCAAGTTAGGCAAGAATAAGCGAACAAGCTCTTACCCTTATGAGCACTTTCATGTCCTAATAGAGCAGATGGGACCTCCACCTAAAGATTTCATCACATGAACCCCCATCAAACAGTACTTAACTAATTTCTAAAGGACAAAAGGAAATAATCACAACAAAACATAAAAAAACCTAAAAAACATGTTTCCTCTTGTTTCAGAAAGCAAGCTCCTTCAGATTGTGTCACAGAAATGCCCAAGCTGCTCGTTTTTTATGTTTATGCCTTGACTTTATCAACACTAAGGAACAACATAAAGACTCCTCTTTATGGTCAGTTGGAAGCTAATGTTGAAATTTTGAAAGTAGTTATTAAAATAAAAGTTAGTTACCTGCATTGACAAAGGGGATCCCATCATATGGGACATACTGAGATTTCCACATCAACCGTGTGGCGGGTTTGGCTGGGCTTGGAGACTGGCGTGTCCCCCACACACTTTGTGTTTGCTGCTTGTGTAGCGTTAGAACACTCTCTAATTCTGTCTCACTCACACAATAGCCGCGGTACGAGTCCCCAATTTTCTGCATGGAAAGGAGGTGAAATAATAGGATTATTCACCCAGCTGACTGCTGAACATTACACAAGAAAACAAAAGCAGTCAGGGACTCTGGCAGGTGAGAACACAGGCCCAGATTTTTGGTGTTTCATATTTTTTGTCCCCACGCTAGTACTTCACAGAGATTTGACGTAGGATCTAACACCAGAGCGGTCTCCACTGAGGTCAGGAGTTTCTCAGCCACCCAAGACCCTAAGAACACCAAGAACCCCTGACACAGTTACAGTTACTGCCAACTCTGATTTCCATAGGACAACTTCACTCCTGTGGTTTCTCCCCTGTACACACTTTGGGTACAGTCACCACCTACACAAATTTGCCTTAGATGAAGTTTTTCACTTGACTGCCACAGTGAATCTCTGAACCACTAATAATTGTCTATGCATGTACTGCAACACACACATGCTCCACTGCACTGGAGCAGAATACACCCACTTATACCACCAGTAACTGTCTCGCCCACTTAGTGCACTAACTTTGAATGGAATGTCCCACATAATATCCCTCCCAGTCTTCAATGCACTCTTGATTCTCAACATTACACAGAAACATAGTATACCAGATCTGCCATGTGCAAACTGATGATGGTTTCAATGAACTCTGCTACAATCTTGGCAACTCCACAAAAACTGCATCTAACTAGACTCCAAGTAGTTATCCAGTTAGTTACTCAGTGCCATCACAGCTGGTTCAGTGCTGGTCTACCAGGGCCAGCCAGCTACCAGCAAAACTACTGGGACAGAGAACTTTCCACCCAAACTCAGAATGCCATGCTTCCTTCTGTTCATATGCAGCTCAGGGACAGGCTGGGCAACCGGCTGTAACACCCAGAGTAGTTTGCCAGCTCAGTCTGTGGGACAAACACACTCCAAATGAGTACCAAAGTCTGATGGAACTCTTTTGCCACCTTCAGTGACAGAGCAGACAGATGTTTAAGTAATACTGACAAAAAAAGCAGCAATGGTGTCTCTTCAAAATTGTTATCGCAAAGATACTTTAGTGACTTCTGCCTAAAACCTGCCTCATAGCCATCTAAGAAAACCAAAATGTCTGTGCAAAACCCAAATCAACCAAGAACCAACAAAGATCTTGTGAATGAACTGGGCCAGCGTGGTGTTGCTGCGAGCGCAAGGTCAGACACTGAGGGCTGTGCGTGCACCGCATGTGAGTCACTCTGAGCCACGAGGTGCTGACACTTCAGCGCCCCCTGCTCTGCCAGCACACTGCTCCAGCAGTTAAACTCTGCACAGGTTGCACCCACACAGCTGTGCAGAGCTAGAGAGGTTGGCAATCGTTTACTTAGAAGTTATAAATAACACTTCTGTCCAACACTTGGTCTGAAAAATCCAGGAGAAGCAAAGCAGTCTGAGAAGTATCAGAACTAGCTTCCTTACAGAAACCTGGGATGCTGCCTTTCACAGTAGGGATTACAGCACCACTCCACACAATAAATACTGCACAACCAGGTTTTTTTTAATGTTATCTTACACTTGTCACTACAAATAGGACATTGATCTTATTCTAAGGAGATGAGAAGACTGATAAAACTGTTGTGCCAGAAAAGTAGCAATAACAGCAAAGGTTATTGGCTTTACTTTTGCACAAGTTAGATCATTTTCCCTAAATTGGTGGCGGGGAGGAGGACAAGAAGAAAATCATAAGCACATAAGATCTCTGCTCTCTACGAGCTTCGCAAGTAGGGAAAAAAAATCGACAAATGAGACCATCTGCTTCAGACAAATAAATTAACTTAGTTTTGCAGAGTTAATTAATGCAGTTTATAATTACACTTTATTTCAGTATGCTGATACATGTTGGAAATGCATTCTGATCACACCATTGAAAACTAAGTAGGTTATTGAAAATAGTTGGTTTTAAATTCACTTTTTATTAACAAAGTAATTACCTTGAAGTAACCAGATACTCTCCAACCCTTTCACTCCGAGGTTCAAGCCAAAAAAAGGAGCAATTCCTTTTCTCTCCCCTGGCCTCATCTCAGCAAAGGTACATAAAAGCTTACACTAAAGGACATAGACCAAAACTGCAGTTTCCTTGAGTGAACTAACAGCAGCAGGGTACCAGAGACATTATGCTGTCTAGACACAGCAAGTGTAAGCTGAACATTTCAAGGCAGTCAGGGAATCAACATCAAACACAGAGCTTAGTGTTAATTTGGATAACTGTAGCTTTTACTGCTCTGTGTTTACCTGCAGTACTAACTACCAACAGAGTCACTGCCCTTTAGGGTGCAGTGGCTTCACCTGCTGACATCTTCTGTGAAAGTCACACAGACCTCAGCACCGTTCGTCTCTATTCTGGCAAGCAACTGAAAGAGTGGAATTGTGAGTTGACAGATTTACCAGCACCTCTCCAAATTCCAGTAGGACCCTGCAATTCTGTCACTTCATGGCTAGGCTTCACAAACGAAGATTTGGGGATTCTGTCACTAGTAACAGAATAATGTGTAAGACAGTCACACCTGAAAGATAAATGACACCCCAAAATCCGATTGTCTCTAGTCTGTGCCCATGGAAAGGTACATACATCCTAGCAGTCTCCAGTGGATCAGGGAGGATTAATGCATACAGGCAACAGTTCTGCTGAACAGCAGAAGCAGATGTTTATGTCCTCAGAACACTTCAAACAGATAATATTTCTATTTCCTTTTCTATAAAAATAAGAACTCTCCTATAAATGCTGCTGTGAATTTTAAATAGAGCAGGTGAAATTTCTTGTAATAGATAGACAAAGTAGATCATAATACAAGTCCTCCTATAAAATGAAAACAATAATAAATGGTTCAGATAAGCCATATGGATGTTTAGACAGGAAAGCATGCGCCACACAGTGCTAAAAACACAGTTCAGTGAACTTTACCAACTAACTGGTCAACTGAATTAAGAGACTGATTCTATGAAAATGGTATCTCCACCATGGAAGAATTCATGCTAATAATTTTCTGACGTCTTAACATTTAAGTGGATATAAGAGTGGACAGTACCATTTGTATGAAATATATGGCATATAAAAAGAGGAGGAGATTAATATATTTAAAAATTATTTCTAAGTGGACACTTAGAAAGAAATTCAATTTCTAAGTTCCTGCAATGGTAATTTCCAGTTATCAGTGGCCAAGTCGATAGGAAAAAACTCAAGTGGTAGAGATACCTAAAGAGATGAAGCAGCTAGAGAGTACACGATTTCCTATTAAAAAGTATTAAGAGAAAGTGAAATGAACATCTATCAGGAAGAGTCTGGTAGCAGGAGGAAGGGGTAGTTGAACTCTCAAGAGTCTTCCCTTCTCCCCTCCCTTCCTTTTAAGTGACTTATGATACATTCTAGCTGTTGATAGGATCCAGTCATCAGGACAGTTCTGCAGACACCTAACAATATGCAAATAAAGGAAAAATTCTGTTTAGGTTAAAAGCTATCACAGGGAATAAAGATAGAGCACTTTTTAACAAAAGAGAAAACAAGTACAGGTAACCTAACCTGCTGGGACAAACAAGAAAAAAAAAAGACATAGAATATATAAAACAGAAACCCTTAATAAAATTTTAACATTAAGGTGCTTTAAGTCTCAGACTTGACACTGGCCAGTCACATGGATTTTGATTTCTTTGTGGTAACACAAACTAGTATGAATAATTGCAGAGGTCAGCAAAGTTTGCCCTGTAGTTCAAAAGCAAGTCCTTACATGGTGCACAATGATTCTTCCCAGCACTGTAAGGCATCAGGTTTTCAGCAGCACATTTTTTGCTTCAGAAGCTGTTGATGATGAGTTATTCTAACATTCTCAAAATAGAAAAGGATTCCACAGCATTTTATGTGTTTAACTGTGTTAGCAGTACCATTACTATATACCAGGAACGACTTCTACAACTATGAATTATTCCTTTCGTGGAATAGGATCACTATCTTAGATCTAGATAATAAAACACCAAGCCAGAATTCTTTGTGGCCCACCTCACAGTTCCTGAGACAGCGTGCCCATGCAGGAGTATTTAGTGGCAAAGGCTGGTGAGGGATGTGAAAAGGATCTTCCACTACCCTGAAAAAGAAAAAAAATATAATAGAAGTCTTTACAGACATTCAGGAAAGCAACAATTTAGTCTGAACTACAGGTAACATCAAATCAGTGTATTATGTATAACCCTAAAGCATATGATCCAACTATGGATATTGTATCAACATGCCTTAAAAACCTGGGCTTCCTTTTCTTCATATTCTGTTTCATTGTTAAAATAATTTACAACAAATGTAAGTATTTTAAAAAACCAGTTTTCTACATTCAAGACCTCCAAACATTCAGTATTCTTAGTATTGTTGCTTGACAACAATAGACAAAACACGGTGAAACAGACCAGCTGATTGTCTTGATAATTTTCTTATGCAGACTGATGGTAAAATGCTAAAGACTAAAACCAATATCAAACACTGCACATTTTACTATATTTTAAATTACTGAAAAACGGCTCCAGTAACTATTTTAAGTACATACCTAGTTTCTCCATTCCTTAAATTCTGGGCCAGAAACAATGCCTACTCAATGTTTATTATTCCAAAACAGGTGCATCACCTCCTGTCTATAAAAATATGCTTCCTTTCCAGGATTATTTTTCTGGCATGTACAGACTGTGTTCTCAACATCCATTCACAAACTGTTTCTCTTCATTTTATATGTTTCTTGAACACATATAATTTGTGTTGGAGTGAGATTACTCTGATCTTTTCCACATTTCAATTTCTGAAGAGCATAAACCAAAGCAAAGTCAGCCTACAGTCCACAGAGCAAACACCTTCTTTGGGAGTTTTTCTGTTGTCACCATGATTTTTTGGGTTTTTTTTTTTTGCTGCTGTTGCTCTGTTTGGTTGGTTTGAGGTTTTGAGGGTTTTTTAAAGCAAAATAGAATTCCAAAGTATTCAGGAATTAAAATAGTAGGCAATATTTAGCATGGGGAGAGAATCAGGTGGATATCAAGTTAAAAATACCTAACAACTAATTAACTTCAGAAGCTTTGTTAATCAATGTGCCTGTCTAAGTGTTTCACCAAAATACACTGTTACCAGCTACTTTCTCATATTTTACCAAAGGAAACCAAAGAAGTTATCCAGAGAACAAAGACCAGGCTCTCGACAGTTAATGCCAACTACTGAAACCTCTATCTAAAAAATTAATCTCTACAATCAACTGTTCTTGAGGGAGGATGGTTTATATAGGTTTTAATACACTCATACAAGAAACTTTGCTCCCTCAAACATCAACTTTCCCTGCAGTTCCCTCACTGGATCACATTCAACTCTTGGTTGGCAGTAACAGTGTTTATTGAAAGTAATTTCAGTAATTTGCACTGTGTTACTTTAAATGCCCACCAGCACTCCAGTCAGAATATATCCAATCATGTTTGGAATACAGGGAATAGAGTACAGGTACTTTAATTGCTTTTCCCACTGCTCTGGCACATACAAAAGCTGCCTGAAAACACAGTTAGCTATGTATCCTTCACTAACACTAAGGGTTCATAACCTCCATTCCATAGTAATTTTGTGATAACCATTGCAAAATCAAAACCGCAAAAAAAAAGACAGTGCTAACAGTGAATCGAAGTGATTGTTCATCCTTTTAACTCCCAACCTACCTGGTGGTTGTTTTTTTTGATACAGTGAGAGATGCCTGTGGATGTAGAATGTAACTGCTTGCACTGTCTGCTATAGCAGCCACCACCACAGTCTGCAGGTTCCCATCACCACAGTTCTCTTCCGAAGCATCTTTACAAAAATAAAACAGTCTTCTGGTTAATAACTGAACAAAGAATGGGGAAACAAGCAGCTATGACTAAACCTCATGTTTGGAAAAGCGAGCCTTCTGATATATGAAAGAAGTTTTATAGATGATAAAGTAGTTGAATAGTTGTGAATCAGTACTCTAACTCCAGGTACACATATGCAGATACACTTGATAAGGTTGCTTGTATTCAAGGACTTTGGTAATCACGCTACTGCTAATTAATCCTTCCACAGCAAAGCAAGTAATCAGAACAACTTGTAAATTACTCTGCTTTACATTTCCACGAATCCATACAGGATTGCACAACTATTTTGCTCATCTGCAAATCACACACTGGCTGCTTCTAAAATAAGAAAAAATGAGGCAATGATACTGCTTTGTACTTAGTAAAGAACACTTAAACAAGAAAAACAGGCCTCTTATAATTGAATCTGACATGCTGTTAGAGCAAATGTTTTAGCCTTTCTTGGTAATAAGGAGGAATCCATAAGCCAAAAATTACTGTTAGACTGAAGCCTGTGTGTACAGTTGGAAAACTGTGAAAGTACACAGTCGACATTTTGGTCTCAACAAAAAAACACAAGGTCTCTTTAGATGAGGGATTTTTGCCCTTCAGTTATGAAAGCCTCTTTCCCCCATCCTGGGAGACAGTGATAAGCTATTGACAGAGTACAGAAATCGCTCCACTAGAAAGCTCTATGACAAGATTCATACGTGTGCACTCAGATTACCACCACTCTGGTTCAAAGCACTGATCCCTCCTACACAGACATGCCCTTAAGACACTACAGGCTACACCAAAGCCTGCGCCATTTCCTGCATTACCACCATGTGCAGACAAGAGAAACTCAAGGGCTGACAGGCCCTCCTCTTTGCCCTTTAATCTCCATAGTAAACCACTGACAAGTTTCCTAACTGTCTGCTAAAGATCAAATAACTACAAAGTCTTTTACACAATAAGTCTCTAGAAAAAAACAAAACAAAACAAAAAAATCCCACCAAAAACCCCTGTACCACTATTGTAGAACGTGTATTCACACACTATGGCACAGAGCCCCATGTAGGATGAACAATGGCAACACAAAGATACTATTCAGCATTGCAACATAGTGCTTACAAACAGTAGCAGCAATTGTTTCAGTGCTAAAGGCTCACAGTCTGCTTTACAGTAATGTAAGACTGTGCTGTAACCAAACAGTGGTCTTATCCCTGCAGGAGCTGGAAAGGGAGGGAAGGCTGAGCATTAGGGCAGGAACAAGCCTTTCAATGCAAGGTCATGGAACTACACTCCAACTGTAAGCAAAAACGGCTGGATCATGACTTGAATCCCAAATCTTCTATCCACCCAGCATCAGGACTCTAGGAACGATACCTTTGAGCTATCATTCCACAGGAGCACTTAACTATTGCTCGGATTTTGAGAATTTCATAGAGAGAATGAAAAAAGTTTAAAAAATCTTCCAGAGTTTAACAAAATGTGACCACCTAGTTCTCAGTCTTACTCTGTAAATGCAAACTAGTACACAGCATTTTGCCATCCAGCGAGGCTTGCAGATAATCAATACTTTCAGATCTTAGTATGTCCATTTTCTAGAGAAAACCTTAAAATTTGCACTTCTAGTTGTACATCTCCCCTCATACTTAAAATGTGACAATTATCATATTGCAACAAAGTGAAAGTTACATCTCATTTTCCTTCACTGGGAACTGAATTTCTACCAGGCAATTCACTCCTGGCTTCACAAAAGATGCATCATCACCAGTGATTTCTGGAACAGAAGAATTAATGTCGTCCTGGCCTTTCTGCACTACACGAATTAACTACTTCACTCAAAATGAAGTAAACAGACAGTGAAAATCTGAAGCTGATAGTACAGCTGTCTGACAGCATAATCATCCTTATTAATGCTAAATAAGGCAAGAAACAACTCTGCTTGATATCTCAATCTACCCATCACATATCCTTCGGAAAGGGGACATAATAGCTCTTCTTTCATAAGGCTTTTGCCCAACAGAAAATGTGGTGTGTGGCATGCCAGATTCATAATCAGAAAGCACATTCAGGATGTATTTTGTCTCACAACTGACTAAGGAAAGGAAACACACACAAAGAAGGTGCTCAAAAAGAGATCATGCAGGATGCACTCAGGAATTCACACCCTCAAGTCCCACAGGTTACACTCACCCTGTGTGCTGGTCACATCCAGAAGCCGACCTTGAGGAATAATCACTTGGGTCACTCCAGGCTGAGCAGAAGGAATGACATGCAGCACCTGTCCATTTTCTGACTGGCTGGCAACAATCATCTGTAAGGCAATCACACAAAAGCAGGAATGGCACCTGTTTGTATGGAGATCATGCAGCATGACTGGGTTTGATTATCACCAGTACAGGAAACATTTTGGTTGGAATTAGGACCTATAAATTAATTTCGTTTCACATGATAAGAAAACTGCCTATTTACTGTCAATTTCTTAAAATTACTTTTCCCTTTTTAAAATAACCCTTTAACTGAATTAAGGAAAGGAAAAAACCCACCACCTTACATGATTCTACAATGAATTACACATTTATTTGAAATTTACAATACTATTATTAAAGCTATGAAAAACCTGAAAGCCATTCATAATTGGATTCACTGTAACCCCTTTCACAGACTAGCAAAATTAATCATAACACATAAAAATTTTGACCTTTACTTCTGAGGAACTGACCTCTCTGGGCAGTATTTCATGCAAAAGCAGATAGAAGAAAAGCTCCAGGACTTAAAAAAATACAAATTAAATTACCTAGAATTTTGAAAAATGTAACTCCTTATGATGTTAATTACAAAGGACTTGTTCCCAACAATGTTACAAAACCTAGAGTAACATAAAAGATCATCTTGTTTCTGATTAATTACACTTTAAATGGGTGAAGTGTCTTTAGTGACAGCACAACACATGCCAACCAAGGCCTCTGGGTAAGAGTTACCTTTCTACAAAACATCTGTTACAAATTACAAAGCAATGTTTTAAGCAAATTAATTGTGGGGTGAGGGTGAATGTGAAATATAATGGGTTAGCTTATTGCTAATGTTCCGATCCCTCAAGAAAAAACAGAGAGACTTATCCAGGGAATACAGAGAATGCAGCAGCAGTAGAAGCATGAGATCTCATACACAACAGCATCCAGGCTTGATAATGGCAAAAGACATTAAGTTGTTGTTTATTATTAGTAATGGCTGAAGACCATCAAGGATTTGCCTACCTGAGGGGGAGAAACTGAAGCATGAACTGAACCACTGAAAAGTTTCACCTTGTTGCTAAAGTCTGAATCAGCTGTTGCTACAACAAACAAGCACCATGTAAGAGAGTTCTTCAAAGGGCTCCCTCCTCTGTGAACACACCACCAGCCCCGTTTTCAGACACACTCACCATGGGTGCACTGGGCCCTCCTGGGGGCTGCAGCTCACAGAGAGGCTGCCTGGTTTGGTCTGCCAGCTGGAACTCCTCTGCAGAGGGAGCCCGTGGCTGGGGTGGCCGTGCCGGCACAGCCGAGGATGCAGAACTGCCTAAGAGGTGGACTGTGATGGGCAAGGCAGCAGGAGAGTCACTCTGGCCAAACAATGGATCCCTGGAATCCATGCACGTTAGATGCTTTCACAGAGGAAAAACAGTAACATGTACTTTGAGTAGCAACTTCTATTAGGAAAAAAAAAAAAGAAAGAGAAAAGAACATTTAAAACCAGTGTGCTGTGTTGTATACTTGGAGAGAGCTTTTGTCCTTCTGATCAAGAGGCTAACACTAGCAGTTCTACTTCTGATTTCCATTTCCAAGCTGAAAAAGTATTCATATTCCTGCTTCCCAGAACAAACCCTCTCTACTAAGGGCAGAGTAAACCCCTTCTGCTTGAAATCTGCTCCCCAAAACCACTTATCACTTTAAAATACCTCACGTCTACCCAGAAACTGAAAGAACTTGCACTAAAAATGCAAGTGTGCCATTACATGCAACATTACATGCAACATTACATGCAACATTACATGCAACATCTGGATATTCATCAGTTCAAAACTGACTGGCACAAGAATCCAAGGGAAGAAACTTTTGTACTTTTTTAAAAGACACCATGTATTACTATAAAGGCATAAAAAGCCCAGTGCACTGATGAAATAGAACACTTTAAGTTCATCAGAGAGGATGTAACAGAAGCATCTACAAGGACAAAGCATTTGTACCTCACCTGGAAAACCTGATCATTTGTCTGGGACTCTCCTGTACCATCGCAGTTGCCTACGAACAAATCGTTAGGTCCTTCCATAGAAATGTCACGGTCAGCTGCATTTTCTTTCATTACAAGGTGACCTGAAAAAGCCCAGAAGTTTAGTTCAGCCTTCTGCCAACACATTGCTGCAGGTGTTTTCTTTGCCATTGCAATCTAACAGCAAAGTCCTCAAGAAATCCCTGGCCCTTTATTACTCGCTGCAGAAAAACTTCAGTGTGTGGCTCCAGGAGTACAGTTTAGCCTTTTATATGAGACAATTTGCTTGACTTGTCATTGTACACACAGACACAAAACACATATACACCCTCCCACCATTTCATCTCAATATTTCCATAAGCACTGAACTAACAACCATACACATCCAGAGAACACTTGATATTTAAACACATGCCAGCACTGCACACAAATACATTATTCACCTAATTCCATAATCAAAAGACAGAATTTGCATGATACAACTCCATCATGCATAACATCTTGAAGTAAATTGCATTTGTTTTAAAGGGTTATAAAACAACATATAAATGAAATAAAATTACTATTATTAGTCTACAGCAGTATGCTTTGGGCAGGAAAACACCTAAACTGAAGCAAAATTTGGCATTAATCCAGTGATGAAAGACAAAAAGACAGAGCTACTAGCACTTCAGAGATGTACCTCCTATTCCAAAGAAAGCTTTAAGGAGCTCAGTTGCCCACTACAAACCTTCAAGCAAACAGAGAATATTGGACAGTGAATCGCCTCATCCACAGGATGAAGCTCTCAGGCACACAATACACCCTTTAAAGCAGTGACCAATCCCAAATATTCACAAGCAATGAGACAAAATGACAATTAACTTGGCCCCTATGTTAGAAGTGTACTAATATATTAGACTACACACATAATATGCCCAACTGAATAGAAGAAAACTTAATTCCTGCAGTGTGGGATGAAGGAGAGGGAAAGGTGTTGAGGATTCTTCCCTTCAGTACTTACTTTAAAGACAGGCTGTGTTATAGTAGCACATGATTCCTACCAGCTTCTTCCTCACCACACCACGCAAGTAAATTCCTCAAGATCGACCTTCTTGGCTGTGGTATTTCAACCATTCATAGCTTTAGTAAGGAGAATGTAAAAGATGAGAGAGTAACTTGAAAGGAACCGTATAACTCTGAAAGCACAAATTTATGCTGCTTTGCAAAGGTATAAAGGACACAGGCAAAGTAAATCTTCATCTCCTTGGCTTTTGAAGCTGAATACAAACAACATCCTGCTGATACAAACAACATTGAGAAGTTAAGCTGCTCATATGCTCAATATATTAATACTTTAATCTAAAGCAGATTTATTTTTCCATTCAATTTTCAAGTGATGACACTCCAAACCAAGTTCCAAGTGAAGTTACCTCACGCTTACCAAATATTTTGGAGGTTTGGATCTGTGAAAAATTATGAGGTGTTTCAGTTACAATGCCTGAAGCATGTTAGCAGCAAATGAAAAAAAACCAACCCAGAAAACTAGATTTTATCATCATTCAACCATTTCCTCTCAGTTTGAAGATGTAAAGAAGACATGGCAGTTTTGCTAAAGCAGCACATTTAGTTCTTTGAGATAAACTAAGTTTGTTCCAGAGATACCGATGGCACATACTTTGAGCATGCTGGAACCTGGCAACAGAACGCAAGGACAGCTGTATTGGGACATACCAATGATCCAAGCAGCCCAATATCCTCTATCTATTAAGGTTAATAACAAAGCTCAGGGGAAAAAATACAGCAGTAGGGTACATATATAGTGACATTTATCCAGTTTCTTTTTATAAGCAGTCCAGAAATGCCTAAAGTTTTATACAATCAAACAGGCTCTCTGAAAAAGTTCCCTTTAAGGGCATCCACCACTCTCCAACCATGGCACAAATTCACGGGGGCACGAATTATATATCAGGGAGGAAATAAGGGCATAGTTGATACTCTTAAGTACTGGAGTTACAATTAGCTTTATATTAACTTGTACCAGGTTTGAGATCTAGCTTATCTCTGTCATGGAAGAGCAGGCAGATGCTGTTAAGAAGAACTGGGGGCTCCCACTTGAAAGGTTTCTCAAGAGATTTTTGTGTAGATAACACCAATAACTGGAAGATGCACCCTTGTCAATTATGCTGACCATGTTAGATCTTTGAAGTACAGTTAAGAAATAGAGGAGATTTCAAAGTCTCACAAAACAAGAACCAACACCTGCCCACTTCAGCAAGTGGAGTCCCCACAACCCGAGTCACCACCGGGGAAAGCCCAGCTGTTCACCAAGGGCCACGAACGACTGTCAAAAAGGTGGGGAAAAACGCACGCGTAACCCAAGCACACCGCAGGTCCTCACACAAGCAACCTTCTCCCAAAACAAAAACTCACTTACAGCTTCTTTTAAAGCCCACCGCGCCTTGGGTTTGTTACTTTCAGCAGGCAGTTTATAGTGGGTGTGTCGCTCGACATGCACAGAAACACAACCCGAGTTACTCCAAGCAGAGACCACCACTCCAGCGCCCCTCAGCGCCACACGAGGAGCTGCCCCCACCGCCTGCCCTGGGCACGGCGCCGACAGCGCCGCTGAGGGGCGGCCACGGGAGCCCTTCCAGCGCCTGCCAGTGACCCCCGGAACGCGCCCCCCGCGCCCCAGCCATGAGGGGCGCAGAGGGCGCCTCCCCGCTCGGCCCGCGCCCGTCACACCGCTCCGCCGCGCGGCCCCGGGCGGGGTTAGCGGGACAGCCCGGCCCGGTGCCGCCGAGCCGGGGGCAGGTGCCGGGGGCGCGTTCCCCCACCTGGGCTCGGCTCCCGCCGCAGCTCCGCCATGCGCGCCGCCGCTCCGCGCACGCGCGCCCGCCCTCGGCACAGAGCGGGGCGGGGGCGCGCGGGGG